TATAATATGTTTGTTCTATTGTGCTTCTGATATTATAAGAACAACACGGAAGTTGTAAATTTGAAAATAAGGATAATATGGTTCTTGATTGAATTATTCAAATCGCTATATAATAACGCGCTATCCTTTCTGTCAAACAATAAATGTTATTTAACCAAAAAAAGTGCTCAAACAACTCAACAACGAACCCCATACCACAACAATACAATGTATGATCTTTAGTAAAAACCAATTCCCTGCATTTCATTTGTTTTTCCGATTTTGAATCATCTGCGATTGTCGTTTCAATCGGATTGTGGTGTAGATTAAAACAAAAGAATCGTGGCTCCTGTTTCATTTCATTTTCAATTATTTGGGGTGGCGTTTGATCTGATGGGATGTGTCGTAATAGTTTAATTACGAAAGTTAAAACGTTCTTTAATTAATGACGTACGTTGTTTTTTCATAGAAAACACCATTTTATAGAAAACAGAAAGCAGCATTATTCAGCAGCCGCTACCGCCTTTAAACATTAATACAGCCTTGAAAACTATATAATATGTATTCGGTAGGCCGAAGGACAGACTATCAAAACTAAAAAAAAAAATCATGAAACAATCATTTGCCCTGTGCACGAATTGAAAAAAACTATATTTAGTTGTAACGCGAGCAGTGTTTGTGTATTAGGTACAAATTAAAATAAACTAACTAAAACTTTTTAAAATGGATATAAATGAGATTGAGATTTAACGTTTAACGTATAATTAGTTTTGAGTGCTTTTTAGCAGTTCTGATTAGTGACATAGGCAACAACTTCCGAATCCATCATATATCAGTTTCAAATTATGAATGTTTTTTTTTATTAATTCAGTAAATCAAAGATTATCTAAGTCTATGGAAATGTTGCCATGTTGATAATATTTGAATTTATATTTTTTAAATATATAACGCCTAGAATCCTTTTTTATGTATCCTTAAACTGATTTATTACGAACTATGTATAAAAGTGGTTAAGGCTATGTTCAGATGGCAATAATTTGACGCGCGTTTTCAAATCGCGCGACTAGACATTGTGGTATTTTCATACAACTGTTCACATGAGCGCGCGTTAACGCGCGTTAGCGAGCGTTAACGCGGCGCTCAGAGAAAAAGTCTCTAGACGCAGGTGATCGCGCGTTAACGCGCGCTTTGATATTAATGTACCTAATGTCCGTTTGCTGTTCAGTTGAGCGCGCGCTTTCATCGCGATCGCATGTAATTTTGTTAATTTTCGTAATTATATTTATAACAAACTGGGTCTATTTTTCAAAATTGAATGAACCCAATGTGTACGTTTTCTTTTTCTATATTTTTCTTTATAATATAACCACAAAATAATAGCCTCTTCCACGTCCATTTTCTACGTTCTACCGAACTAGACTGACGAGTACTCTCGCAACGCGCATTATTGCTCATCATCTGAACTCTCTTCAAATTTGATCGCGCGTTGACGCGCGTTAACGCGCGTTACATGTGAACATAGCCTAAGTGTCATAAAACTGCGCAGATTATGCCTTATAGTTTTCCACAGACTAAAACATTAAACAACAATAGACTCACACTAATTTAACATGACACGAAAACTATATTCTACGGCTATTTTAACTCAACTGAAACAGTCGGAACCTCCAGAGAATAGAACTATTGTCAGAGTTGTTCCAAGATATTTGCATTTGTATTTTAATATATTTTGACCCAGCGTAGAATAAATCATTTTGTAATATTATTGTTAGTTTTGTATTATTACGACTTTTCATTTACTCTATTTATAAATGGTAATCGCTGCGTTTATCTACTTTAATTTATAGTAGTTACTTACTGTTAGTAGCAGCTGTAATATGCATATAATTAATGTAACATGTAACCTGATTTTACTGTACTTCTATTCTGCCCATCGAGAATAAATTAATGCCAAATCAATGAAATAGACACATAGATGTCTATATGGCTAAATGCCTATACTTACACGCGTACTGAATTCAATCAAAAACAAGATCTACAAAAACCATCCCTCATCCCTTAAACCCTTTTAATCATGATAAAACGTCTTCATTCATTTCATTTACAATTGTAAAGTTTATGCTTTCGGAACCGTCGTAAAACAGTAAACACGTCACTGAAAGGGTTCCCGAATTCCGTCCCGTTTAGCGGTTACTACACTCGTTTGAATTTTACGTTACCTTTTAATATCCTACTTTGGGTAGATCTAACCTCTGTAGGTACTGTATAGATTAGGTATTGTGAGATTCTGTTTGTATCTATGCGATTTTTAAGGGTATATAAAAAAAATAATGGCACTACAACCTTTTTAGGTCTGGGCCTCAGATTCCTGTATCTATCATGAACATTTGTTAAACTAATAGGCAAGTATGTGATCAGCCTTCTGTGCCTGACGCACGTCGTCGACTTTTTGCCGGTTTCCTCACAATGTTTTCCTTCACCGTTCGAGCGAATGTTAGATGCGCACATAGAAAGAAAGTCCATTGGTGCACAGCCGGGGATCGAACCTACGACCTCAGGAATGAGAGTCGCACGTTGAAGCCACTAGGCCAACACTGCTCTTGTAGGGTATATACATATTTATATCTCTTCCCTGTATGTATATTTTAGAAATGTCCTTATTCGTTTACAAAAACATTTATAGTTTTAAGTCAACGGGAATAGACATCTGTGGAAGTAGGTATGGAGAGAAATTGTTGTGCCAAAAATTTATCTGGAATTGAATAGGAATAAACATTTGTATGGCAATCAAGGTTTATAATAATTTACCGAAAGCATTAAAAGATCTATCCTAGATTACTAGACTTAAAAATCTACTTAATGTACTACTTTGGGAAAAAATATATTATTCTAATAATGATTATTTGCGTGAAAAATTATAATTAGTATAAATTTGATAACGTTATAATATATTTTAATAACGTGATATTTTATCACTACAAATAATATAAGAATTGACTATATATACGACTCTTTATGTATTTAGCTTCTATTTAAAATTCCTTTTAAGACAAATTTGCACGCCATTATGTAAAGCAGGTTAGGCAGAATACCTATGCGAACTTTAGATTGTACCACCATAATATTTTTTTCTGTAGCGGCGACATTATGTACTGTTATGCTTTGTTAGGATATAATTATGTTATTACTAATATTTGCTTTTTTATTTTTGCTCTCAAACATCACACATTTTACAAGGAGATATCTGATTGTCAGATACTTATGAAAATTTTGTTCTGATTACTTATATGTAGACGGAGAGTTCATTGTCATATATATGGTATATTTAGATTTTGATATTCATAAAAACGAAATCATTCTAATTACATAATTTTTACCAAAGTACTTTTTTCGTTACTGTCAAATCGTGTTTACGCTGTGATTTAGACGGATGGGTACTTTAGTTAAAGCTGTTCAATTAGATGTATTTTTAAGAATAAGGGTAGCTGCGCATCTGTACCTAAGGCCTTAAAGATACGTAGATATGATAAAACTAACTATTTTGCAACTACCCTCAAATCCGCCACGTAGCAGCCCTGAGCATCGTGGATAAGTAAACCGAACTGACAACTTCGACCCTTTTAGATTTGAAAGGGTTGACGCAAAAACTTCATTAGTATTCTGAGCTCAGGTGTTTTAGGGTTGGTGAAATTTATAAGATTTTCCATCTTTTGCAAAAGATAAATAAATAAAATAATTAGAAGATAATTTGATAACCCCTTAAGCTTTGGAGAAGACGAAAATGTCATGAATCATGAGTAATTGAAGCATTAAATTTATTTTTATTACTAGATATGTTTTCCATATTTTTGATGAGATACTTAATGCGGTACCAATTACAATAATACGCTCAATCGAATATTTAGTAATAATATTTTATTTATTCACAAAAATACATACACTTTCCTAAACTAATACGACAAGGTCGAAAAAAAATGCAACATTATAAAATATATAATATTAAATACATAACAATATCGCTACTGTGACAGACATACAAAAAGCTGCTAAAGCTTTTAGTACGGTCTAAATAAAATATTCTGCAGTGGAAGTTCAGGCGCACCGAAGACAAAAACAAGAGTAATTATTTGCGTTTATTTTTAATTATACGCTTAAATCTTTACTCTACACCACACCACACACTGCAAAAATGTTAAGCCTCCAACAAGTATTTTCAGTGTCCAAGCGAATTGACACATTTTGACAGGCGTCCTTCCCGCCTAAAATTGAACTGACAACCAGTGACAGGTTAATTCGTTTTATACAGCTGAATAAACCAAAATCTTAATAGGATAAAATTATTACAGACTTTTTAAGTGTTACGGCATCGATAACTGATTTTAATATTTTACTCAATTGTGAAAATAGAAAACAACACTAAACTATTTAATTAATAACAATATCCTCTTACTTATGTGCCTTTGAACAACTATTAAAAAATTTCAAACATCAATGATTATTCTTATTTCTTAGTACAATGAGTTACAAAGTGGTTTAGATAAGAATAGGAACGTCAATAACCTCTATTGGTCAAATACATCTTGAAAGTACATTTTGCAAACAAATTTAATTTGCTCAAGGATTTTACATAACGGTATATTTAACTTGGATTAAATGCGTCTTATTTATTTTATTAGTATGTTTGACATTGTTGTCTATTAACACAATTGTCGAATATCGACGGAAAAATCATTATATGCTCTGTGGCATGTGTCAAGCCCATGACGATTGACAGTCAAATAATATAATGTAAACTGTCACGCGAACCATTGGTGATTGGAGACAGTTTAACATTTTTTCTAATTTGAATCTTATTTGTGGACTAAATAAATACCATTATTCATTTGTATTATGTATTTCTATTTTATTGTCGGTTTATATGTGCCAACAATTTCTGAAAAGTTTAGTTTTTTTCTAATTAGGAATCTTGTTAAGGATTCCTTATTGTATAATTATACTCATACGGTGAAACTTGGCTAAAAATGAGTGAAGAAAGCTGTGAAGAGAGACAAAATAACGAAATGGTCGCATTACAGGTTATAAGATTTTCAATTTCAAAACAAACAATATTATTTATATAAGAATTTAGTGAATAAATTTAACTTATATGCTTCAAAAAACCACGAATCTCTTTTTAGATATTATTTAATTTTAATTCTGATTTTGTGCCTTAGAATTTTATCATTACTTTTATTTTAGATCCTTCTAATTAAATACACGTAAATATTATAAAAAAAGTTCAACAACATTTAACATTATAAAGCACTTAGTGACATTTTGAATATCTCACATTCTTAATACAGAGTTATATTTTCTATATTTTTTAGTTAGTAGTTTTTTTATCTGTTTATCATATTATGGTTATAATTTTAGTTTTACTATTAATTATTGTTGATGCCATGTAAAGTATCTTTAAAGAAATCTCCAATGATATTTCTTTCTGAAAATAATCTTAAATATTACAGGCAATATATGGAGATGCAGTGGTTGACATTCGTAAAAAAGCTGTTTGGAGTGAGTGGCGTCCTTTGGACATACTATTAACATTATTGCCCCTGCAAAACTCAGAAGGAGTTCACTGTTCAGTCACTCTTCAGTTGAAATGTTGTCATAATTATCCAGATAGGTAAGCAATTTCTTTTTTTGAAAACACTAAGCCAAAAAAAACTGTTTTCTGATTGGAATCAGATGCCCAAAAATCATATATTAAATACTGAAGTTATTGTATAATTTTTTAGACCACCCACAATTGCAATTAATAAAATGTTTGGTCTATCTGATGAAAATGCAGCAAAACTTATCTCAGATCTAAAGAAAATAGCTGTTGATTTATGCGGGGAAGTCATGATTTTTCAACTAGCACAACATACACAGGTAATTATAACTCAATTTTTAAAAATCATTAATATTATTTTACCATTCATTTAACATGTTATACTAATTGCTAAGGTTCGTAATATGGGTAACAGTACAATCATAAGCATGAGACTGAAACATTGTATCTGATTAAATTATAATCATAAATGGGAATGTCAACAGGTTATAGGATATCAGTTCTGACGTTTTTACTTAAGCCTAAAAACAAATGAGCTTGATCAACTTACAAGTTGTAAAGAAATAACTTTATACAATTAATTAATAATAATACTGTGTTTGATAACATACAGAAGACATTGGTATACTTGAGTACCCATTTATGAATCATTTTGGTTTGACCAAGTTACCTACAGATACAGTTTTAGTAGCTGCTTATTAATCCTTAATTTTACTTTTATAGCAATTTTTGCATGATCACAACAAACCTACACTTTCATTTTATGATGAAATGTTGAAACAGAAGACTGAGATGGAGAAATTGAAACAACAAGACATAGAATTAAAGGAGAATGAAGAGGTATTTTTTTAATTTTTAATATAGATACAATGATCCACTTTGCTTATTTCTTTCAAAAATACACTTTTGGTGATCAAAAAATTTCTAATTTTAGCGGAAAAAAATGAAGGATGAAATACAAAGACGACAGGAAACATTAAAGAATTCTGCTAGAAGAGTACACAGGTCTAGTCTCAGCCAAGAACAGCCAGTTACAGAAGGGCAGGGTGATGCTCCTAAACTCTTATAGTAAGTTTTAGCACATTTTACCCCCTATAAAACCATCTGATTCTTTTTATCACAGTGTAAACACAATTTGACAGATAGAGACAAAACAGTACTTTAGATAAGACATAAAAGCTTTTCTTGTGATTATATGACGAAACTTTTGGAACTACATATTAAATTTATTAGACATTTATTACCAACATAAAAAGTAAATTGAAAAACTATAATTTTTTATATGTTTTTGTTGGTTAAACAAGATTGCAATGGTTACATTATAAACACCACAGTTATAATGTAACACAATTTAAAAAAAAATCTAATCTCACAATTACACTTGTGTGTTACCACATTAAGAAGCTTTGGGCCTCAGATTATCTGTTTTTATAATTTTCTTAACACGTTCTCCATGAACCGAAACCGAACCAAAACCGATTTTTAATACATCAATATTGAATCAATTTTTTTCTATTACAGTTACGCAGACGAAAAAATGTCGCCCGCTAAGAAAGTGATACGCGGTACGAACGTACCATGTACGTGCAACTCTCGTGGTGCGTACGTCCTGAGGTATACGCAACGCAATAACAAGAAGGTTTATATTGGCAATTGTTTGGGTTAGTATCTATATTGTCTTTGAATTACATTCACTTTTCAATATAATTTATTTGTACTGAGAAAATGCTAGCTTTGCTCTGAAGTTTTACTTGGTTGTAGCTTGATAATAGCCCTGATATATGACTATACAAATATATGTTTTTAATTTGAACCTGTAATACCATAAATTAGAGCATTCAATCTAACGCTTAATGATAATAATGTTAAGATAGATGTACAAATTCAAATTTAAGTTCATAATCTTTATTCATAAGCTTAAACAATGTACACTTATGAACGTCAATAAAGAAATACATATTAAATGCTTCTAATTTTACATTTACTGCCAGTTCTTAAATCAAGGGCGTGGAACGGACGATAAGAACTGGCAAGAAACTCTCCGCCACTCTTTTTAATCGCTAAGTTTTTGTTTTACAAATTGTTTGTAAGGAGCTGCCACCATTACACCATGTTCCACATGACATCTTTAAGTAATTAAGCTTTAATTATCACCTTAGTAATTTAATTTTAGTTATAAGCATGGTAGGCACAAAATATTTATTTAAAAAAGCTTCGTGTAGCGAGTTTCTCAACAGAATGTTTCTAAACGTAACGCTATCATGTATCATGTATCTAGAATCATTTTCAATTTACATTAAATTTTGATAACATAAAGGTTTGTCCTCTATCATCAGGAGGCATGGTGAAATAGGAGCACGCACTTACATTCTCGTGAGAACAACACGCAAATACATAGTCGATTAGATTTATACTAAAAACATATTATAAAAATAGAATGCAACTACATTATTAGCTTAGCCCTATCAGGTAAAAGGTTGCCAGCATCCTTATGCTAAGATTTATCATAAAATCAGATGAAAACAATATAATAATTGATTTAAGTATCTCAAGTTATTTTCCCGTATAAAATTCCATAACTTAACTCAAAACTAGTATTTATTTAGAACAATATACCTTAATAAACTCTTAGAATTTTAACGAAAACTTATTTTTTTATTTATTATTTATTTACACTTCGTTGCATTGCAATATAAAAAATGTAACATAATTAAATGTAAAGGAAGGCAACTGGCGGCCTTATCGCTTTCGAGCGATCTCTTCCAGGCAACCACTGTGAGAAAAGAATACAAAAATGTATTAAATTAGTTAAGGTAGGCGAGAAGTGCAAAAATACATATTACATAATATGGTTATTAAGAAAAAAAAATAAAATTTTATTCAAGAACATGCTTTACAAAGATTATAACACATTCAGGTCACTCGTCAAACGGCTCCACAACGTACCTCGCAATCGACGACGACGGACAGCAAGTGATCGCCAAAAAATGGTGTCTTTCCCCTGCCTCGGATTTCCAGACTCGGAACAGACAACTAAACTCAGTCCAGCAAGATCTAAAAGCCATGTGCAGATTGAAACACCGCTCCCTCATCCCGTACGTTGCTATGGAAACGGAATCTAAAAAGTCTGCTCGTCAATTCGTCTACATCTTCCGAGATTTCGTTTTGGGCAGCTCGCTCAAATACCTCAAGAATAAAAGTTCCTTCGGTGATATGTTTGAAGTGTTGAAACTAGTGAGACATGTTGCGTTGGGGGTGTTCAGTGCGTTAAATGAGTTGCATAGTGTTAATGTGTTGCATAGAGATGTGAGGTGCGAAAATGTCTTCTTGGAAGACAGTGGGACGGTCAAGTTGGTTGGGGCAAGTTTGGATATTCGATTGATGGAGGTGTATGAGGGGGAGAGTTATTGTGACCGGTGAGTTATTTATTAAATAGTCTAAACTGCTCTCTATAAACGCGAACTGGTGACATTTAGAACGATTTAAATTGATGTATGACATACGGTTAACAAATTGTATGTCTACTTAATAATAAAATTAAGTAGGTACAATTTGTGGGAGTGTTGGCCAAGTAGCTTCAGCGTGCAACTCTTATCCCTGTGGTCGTAGGTTCGATCCCCGGCTGTTCACCAAAGCAATTTTTTTTTATATTTAACATTCGCTCGAACGGTGAAAGAAAACATCGTGAGTAAACCGACATGTCTTGGACCCAAAAAGTCGACGGCGTGTGTCAGGCACAGGAGGCTGATCACCTATTTGGCTATTAGATTGAAAAATTATCATGAAACAGAAATTTGAGGCCCAGACCTAAAGAGGTTGTAGCGCCACTGATAATAATAATAATATTAAGTAATTATTAAGATATATTAATATTCATTTGGCTTTTGGATTTGGCTAAAATTGTTTCCGAAGACAACAAAGGAAATTAAAACTATGTACTTATTTCTACTAAAAACTAAAAGGAGATTAAACGCACACGTCTAAAAACTACGTTCATAAATTTCTTATAAGTGGGGGTCTTAAATGTACGGTATCCATGTCTTTGTATTGTTTAGTTAAAAACTATATAAATTTCTCATTTAGTTTTTTATTTTATTTAATACTATCTGCCCCCGTGAACTTCGTTTCGTCTTAATTTGAGTTTCTTTATGAAACTGGTTTATAGGTATTCCCGTTCAATTTTTCCATTCAATTTAAATTTTCTCTTCACACGTTCAGAGTTTAAAATATAAAGAAGTGCGTGCGTACAAAGTACACATGTCAGAAGTGAAACTTCTTTGGCAAACTAATTTTTAAGTCTTGTTCATATAATATTTTATACAAATCTTTAACTTTAAATTTCCGAGACTTAGAGGGAGAGGGAAGGAAGATAAGTTCGGAATTAAATGAATTTAATTGTCATTAAAATGTTAGAAGTGTCGCAAAATTAATACAAATTAAAGAAAAAATATTTTAATTTATTTCTTCGATTCTCGTAATTTGAGATTTCAATAAATTATTTTCCATAGAATATAAAATACTAAAATGTCATAAATTCTCTTTACGAAATTTTAATTTTAAAAATAGAGTTTCTATAAGGTAATTCGCTCTTCTCACTCTCTCTCAATCCGTCTCAATCGCTCTCTCCCTTTTCTTCGACAACGCGGCACATCTTCGTGACCCTAATATTATTATTGCTTTTCATCCGTAAAAATGTTACCCTCGCCTAAAGAAGTTTCACTTCAAAATTACAAAAATATATATTTCTTATGATTTACAGACAAACAAAAGCTCAGGACATCTACGCCGCAGCGCAATTATTGCTGTCAATAGTATGTCCCGAGGCAATTCATGAAATACCGTCCGATTTCCCTGGTTCAGCCAAAGACTTCTTCTCGAGGTAAAATTAATTCCTAAATTTACAATTTCAAAAATATGATATTTTTCTTTTGATATCTTGTATCGATAAATTCTAATTATGATTTTTAAACATTATTTAACAGTTATACATATAAATACATTTTTGTGAGTGTGATAATAAATAATAAGAGCAGTGTTGGCCTAGTGGCTTTAGCGTGCGACTCTCATACCTGAAGTCGTAGGTTCGATCCACGGCTGTGCACCAATGGACTTTCTTTCTATGTGCGCATTTAATATTTTGCTCGAACGGAGAAGGAAAACATCGTGAGGAAACCGACATTTCTTAGACCCAAAAAGTCGACGGCGTGTGTCAGGCACTGGAGGCTGATCACCTACTTGCCTAATAGATTTAAAAATGATCATGAAACAGATTCAGAAATCTGAGGCCAAGACCTAAAGAGTTTGTAGCGCCACTGATTTATTTAAATTAATAATAAAATGTACGTTTAAAGTCCCCTTACCCCTCACCCCATTGAAGTAATTGTAGATGTTTGACAGAGGACGAGCATTCACAATGGCCGGCTGAGAAATTGGTACAGCATGGGTTTTTGGTTGACGCACCAGTGAAGTTACCTAATAGTAAGGATAATAACCGAGAAAATGAGTCTGAGGTTGGTAAAATGTATTCTATTATTGAAGTTATACTTCTTTTGGCGCATTAGAGAAAAATTTTACGATGCGCGTGCTCCGTCACAGAAAACCGACACCCTGAAGTTAGCTATAGTCAACATTTTAGTTTTTCCTATTGTTAGTGTCGTTTTTTCTAAAAACGTAGAATAAAATTTGTGAAAAGATTTTTATCTTGTTACGTCAAAGAAGTATAGCTTATAACGCGTGTACATAAGTACACGCTTTTTATTTTTGAATTTTGCCAATTTGATCGTATACTTAGTAACTAAGCTAAAACTTAATCTTTTTCGCTGCTTGACGTGATATTCCATTTGTCATTATTATAATACATAATGAGATAGAATAACGTCAGGAAATACTCATTAAATAGCTATGTATAAAATATATAATAATAACACAATATTAAAATCACAATAGGAGAAGAAATAAAATAGACAATGGATGTAAAATAATTACCTCAGGTACCTTTATAAATTAGGAAAGTGTTGCAAGGTGATTTTAAGTGATATTTTTTTAAGGACGAAGGTGGCAATACAAAAATAAACAGTATTAACACACAAGTGAACGGACATTCGCGATTGAACGCCGAGTTTGAAGTTCTCACGTGGCTCGGTAAGGGTGCTTTTGGGGATGTATTGAAGGTGATTTATTACTCATATTATTTTACTAAAGGTAAATGCTTCCGTACTTTAGTAGGTATTGGATTCTTAGAAGAACGATTGATTTGGCATACAAAACTGCCATCAATAATTTACAAAACCTTGCCATTTGAGGAAAAATATTAAAGCAAATTTCTTCAAATGGCAACAATATTAAAGATGTCACTATAAATTGTCATTGTTGTCATCTGTCAAGTGGATTGTGCGTGATCGAATTAAAATAAATAATAAAAAGTTATTTTCATTATAACACAGTAAGGAAAAGAAGGAAGAAGTTGTCTCTTTCTTTCTTTGAAAATTTGTTTCTTCTCGTCCTTTCTACTCACTTGTTTTAAGAACAGGCAGTAGAATTATCTGATGTTTTAGTTAAAACTAATATATGCTCAAATACAGTTCTCTTTTCTACGTACAAACATTATAATTTTTTTAATAAAGTAAATCGAATTTCAGGTCAAAAACAAACTAGACGGCGGCTTCTACGCAATAAAACACGTCAAACTGAATCCCAAAAGTGTTGAATTGAATAAAAAAATAACCCGCGAAGTGAAGTTATTGTCGCGGCTAAATCATGAAAATGTCGTCAGATATTATAATGCCTGGATTGAGACTATTATTGACACGGAGATAGAAGACACGAGCGTTGAAACTACTCCGGTTAAAAGAAAAGGGGATAGTTTGCTTGATGTTGTAGCTAAACTTGGACAGGTCAAAGTAAGTATTAATAACTTATTTTTAATAATTAAGGAAAATTATAATTCTAGATTTTTTTATGAATACATTACTATTAAATATTAGTGTTTTTAGTATTTTTGGTTACTAAAGACGGATTTTAAATTGTCGTCAAGCAATAAATGTCACTGACAGTAGGAATGTGCACGCAATGCAACCCGTTATCGATATTTAGCTACCTGCTATTTCCAGATAGTGAAAAATTATTACTATTAATAATTAACATAATTCAGTATCTATCGTACCTATCCCGTTATAGATATGCACCTCTACAATTCTTACGCACATCACTACACCTCTCCATAAGATCTGTAAGTGCGAGCGAGACAGACGATGAATATGGTGTATGACCCGAACCTCAGTTCATAATGCGTCGACTATAATAAATTTAAATTGTGTTAGAGGGAGGGAAATGAAATCGTGAAATGGTCAAATCACGTATCTTAAAAACACTATAATCGAAACTAATTCGTATCTCAAGTTGCAATCTCGCCTTGAGCGATGTCAAATACGTCAAACTTCATACAGAAAAATGTTTTTTTTTTGGCGATTACGATTTGTGCATTAGCCAGCGTCAAGTATAGGATTTTTTATAATTCGTGCTTGTCTTTAGAAATTCGACCGTGTCCTCCATGTACGGTTTAGGCACTCGCCCGGTACCGCACAACCCTCCCAAAGGCCGAGAACAAATTTAAATTAAAACTTGCCCTCGAACCGGGAATCGAACCCGGTACCCCTCACCTAGCTGCCACTTAATAAGACCGCTAGGCTATGAGGCCTCCAGAAAAATGGTTCGACAAGTCTTGATACTAAATTTAAATTGGATTGTCGTTCTAGAATACGTATACGTACGTAGGTGAGAAAAAAATATTCGTTAACAAGATTTTTTGCCTTATTTCAAAAAATTTTAGTAATTTATCTTCTATTCTTAATATAGGTAAATTGGTCGATGTCAGATGGTCCAGTGCAGACTCGAGACAGCGAATCATCGAGTGAAGAAGATTCTGATGATGACGATGATGAACCGGATCTCTGGTTTAATATCATGAAGTGAGTGTTATTTCTCGAATTTAAAAATGTATACTGAATTTTAATTCCGTAGAATTCTGACAGCATTTTTGACATGTCAGAGATGGCAAACCTTTTTTTTTTGACCGGGCACATTTTTAACGGCGAGTGATAATTACGTCCTTGTCATCACACAAATAGTCTAGTCAACAAGTTCAAAAACGTGAAAAATAGAGATAAAGGTCCTAAAAATATGAGCGATGGCTCATTCGATTCGTAATCACCTCTAGAAAAATGTTTTTGAAGGATTTTGGTGCAGGTTAAAAATTGCAATTGTTATTAACAAAATAAGATGAAAAAAAAATGATGTTTCGTTTTTGTTAATAACTCGAAAAATATTAACATTAAGTAAAGATAATATTTTAATTATTTAAAAAATGTGATGCCAGCTAAATAATAAAATAAAGTAACTGAAGTTAATTCGATATATTTTGTGATATTGAAATATTTGATTTTTGTATTAGTTCACTTGAGTATGTAAATATTTTGATTTACCTTTTTACATTAAAAATACATAGATTTTTTTTATTGCCCTTAAAAAGTCAAATTTGTCCCTTTTTCGGTGGAGAAGTTTTTTAGTTGCAACACTTATGAAATGTCAGTATTCTACGGAATGAAAAATCAGAGTATAGTGTTACATTTCACACAGACTTTAGTAAACTACAGAAAGAGACAAAAGAGTTCATTGGTTAAGAGTGCTATTTAACTGATGTTTACTCTTTTGTCTCTTTCTCTCTTTGAAAATTTGTTGAGTATATATTCGTGGTAAAGGAAAATCTGTATATTGATTAGATTATGACTGTCTCTTACATTGTATCTAATAATATGAAAGGAAGTAATTAAGAACTAAGCAAATTGAACCTTTTATGATAACAAAAATATATCTATAGTCCGACATAGTAGACTTTCTACTACCACGAGATCGGTATCTACGCGAGTGAAACCTTGGTATTGATAGTTATTAATATTTTAAAGAATTTCAATAAATATTTTGTATTAGCCACGACGAAGACTCGAGCAGTGTCATAGAGTTTGAAGTGGATTCTCAAAACAAGTCGTTAACAGCGCCCTCTGAAGACACGACGATATCAGTTGAGCCACGCCTTCAACAGGTGCTGTACATACAAATGGAGTTCTGCGAGAAAAACACTCTACGACAGGCTATAGACAATTCGTTACATAGAGAACATTTTCGCGCTTGGAGGCTGTTTCGAGAAATTTTAGAAGGTATTTTGATAAAAATTATTCATATTTAAGAAATTTTAATTTGATTATTTCTGTACCAAAATATGACATAATATTAGTATGTCTAAATGTCTAACATACTCCAGCAATATCTTAAATCAGTAAAAATACCATAATACAATTGATTTATATCAGCGCCATCTGTCATAGTGTACAACGAGTAATATATTTTGAGATAAACGTCATGTATACTTATTATTTATTTTATTATACATTAAGGAGTATTAGCCAAGAAGTTAAACATGTAACTCTCATCTAGGGTCTTACGTTCGAACCCTAGGTTCAAAAATTAATATAATAAAATTCTAACACCTTTATTATTTTTTTTTTAAATCAATTGTTCACGAAACTTAAATGGTAGGTTGAAGGAAGAAATTACTAGGAAATTGATACCTAAAAACAGTAAGTAAATTATCAAAACAACTGAAATTCAAATTCCAAATAATTTTAATAAATTTTCGATCAAATCAAATAATTTAACCAAACAAAAAATTAATCGAAATAATAATAAGAAATACAACCTTTTAAACAATTTGTCCCCCTGTAGGCCTTGTAAGATTCAGCGACCTTTCGTCAAAGAATATATGTTATTGACATACGGAGGTCATACATAGCGCTAGACCGAATCTTTGCCTTAGCCCCAAAAAGGACATACTCTTATAGCCCGGCAGTGCACACACTCACATGTGTTAACTTTTATTATTTATTTAATTAAATTCTGAGCATTTTTATGAAACATATTCTTAAGAATTTTGCTACAATAGTTACTCATTTGACTCGTTCGGTTGTTTACGAATTGACTCGAACATCTCCCCGAAGTGGGATGGTCGTGTCAGAGTAGGGAATAGATTATAAAAGAGGTTGTGACATATGCGCACGGGCAATTCCTGTGTTCAAGTTTGAAGTTATACAGTTTACGTAAAATCAGTGAAGTTCTTACCCTAAGAACTAGATCAACTAGCCCTTATACATGGATGTCCTTGGGCTGCAGTAGCTGCCTTTTATGATTTCTCCGTTCTATTTCCCCTCTAGCACATAATACAACCACGATAGTCAGGCACAAAAGGCTGATACCAATGAAACGTATACAGAATAGTGTCTGTCTCACTTCAAAATTTATGTCAGATAACTATGAATCTTCAATTTATAGGTTTGGCTCACGTTCACCAAAAAGGCATGATACACAGGGACTTGAAGCCGGTCAACATATTCTTGGACTCCAACGATCACGTCAAAATTGGAGACTTCGGTCTCGCTACTAAGGTCTTCACTGGATTACCTGTTAATGGTAAGATTATTTATAATGTATATACTTATTTATTTATTTATTAACACTTCGTTGCATTAACATAATAAAAATTGAACATAATTTAATGAAAATGGAAGTTATCGCTTTCGAACGATCTCTTCCAGGCAACCACTGTGAAAATAATGTATTCAATTAAATAAGGTAAGCAAGAAGTGCAAAAAATCATAGTACATATACCTACTTAACAGGAAAAAAGGATACATGAATCACGATAATTTTAGATCAGTCTCTCGTCAGTTAGTAGTTAGTACGAAAGTTAGTATGTCTATGATGTGGACAGGTAATGTTAGTACCGTAGAAATTTAAAGGAAGATAGAGAAGGAGCTAAGCGATTAGGAAGTGAGTTCCATAGCTTAACTGCAGAGACCTTAAAGGATTCCCCAAGGATATAGTTTTCGGAAGAGCTATAGTTATGGCTCCCAAAAACTCAAAAACACTTATAAATAGTGGACTAAATAGGTGCCTACGCTGTTTGACTCAAACTCAAAATAACTTTATTAATATAGGTAAACAAGTACACTTATGAACGTCAACAGAAAAGATGTTAAATTGATTCTAAATTTACATTTACTACCAGTTCGCAAGTCAAGGGCGTAGAGCGGACAAGAAGAACTGGCAAGAAACTCTCAGCCACTCTTTTTAATCGCCAAGGTTTGTGTTATACGATTTGTTTGAACTGGAGCAAATCAACCCCAAGAATTAGGATCATTTAAGTAATCGTCAATCGTTTGTTACTATGGTAACGATAAAAAAAATCCTTCAAATCTGTGATTTTAAATAGTAATTTTTTATTTTGTAAGATTATGGAGTTGTAGTTTGTTAAGATTATTTTTTAGTTAGCTCGTATATTGTGACTAAATAAGCGCACTATGTGTATATGGAATCGCCAAGTATTTTGTTTTCGAAATATATTTTTTTCCACTTTCTTTCTTGTTTGCTTGGGTTGCTAGACGAACTTGAATTTGATTAAATTTTTGCCAATGTTATAAGTTACGCCCTCAATTATATAATGGTTTAGTAAGTGTGATTGTGATCTATTTAAAAGCAAAGTAGTAGATTTTATATTATCAATCTCACCTCTCTCATTGATTCCATACTAATTTATTTTTATCCTTACGTCTGACAATTGAGTGCCTTTCTTCATGTTAAGGATATATCGAGGCGATGTACTCATAGAGCAAGATCCCAGGGCCGCCAGACGTCACGTATTTTCTGACGGATGAAATGTGGACGATTGAGTAGTGTTAGTATGTACTATGATCGTATGCCTACCTGCTAGCTTGGTCAAACGGCCAATTTCCAGGTATCAGGTAATCAAGGTACACAAAAACATTACTTACTTCACGTAAATTCTCATGGCTGATTTTTATATATGTTTTCGAGTGTATAGTTAAAAATAAATTGTCAATACTCCCAGACACTTTCCGTCGGCCATATTGCTTGACAGACGCTTTAAGGGTCTCAAAATAATTAGTCAACTTCACGTAAATTCTGACGCTCCATTTTTATATATGTTCATCCGACAACTATTTTAAAAGCTTTGACAAGAAGACAGACCGATCCAAGGGGCCAATCATCCCCTAAACTAAATTTTAATATCTCTGTCAGTGGGAGCGCGAGAGCATTATCTACGCGCATGAGACTGAGTGAGACCGACTGCGCTGTTAAAGCCATGAAAATTACTTGAACAGATATTTTATAATTTTTAGAACTTTTGTTGACAAGTAAATTATAGCAACAAAAATAAGAAAAAAAATTGACATATAATAAATAACACAAAGTTAGCCGACATTTTTAATTTTTTTTTTGGCCAACAGCTAAAGTCACTCACAAAAAAAGTATTCAGTGTTCTGCCGTGTCTGTTGAGTGCAGCTGTGACTATAGTAGCAACGTGTGTAAAAAAAATAAAAATATTTGCAGTGTTTTGAAAGATATAAAGGCTTCTCTAGTAAATTTGTAAAGATTCTGATGTTAATTTAATATTGTTCACGCAAGAGACATTAAAAAGGTGTCAAGTAATTTTAAAACATAGAAAAGAACATAACCTTAAGTTTAAAGACGTTGTTTTGCCAGGTGATTTATTGGAAAGTGGTTATCACAGACAATGTTATAAATCATTTACAGGGTTAAATAAAAAAATACTTTTTACCAAAAAGTAAATCAATCAACAAATCTAATTCCGAAGAAAAATCATCAAATATTACAGAAAATTCATGTGTCGAATCCTCAACGACAGTTGAATTAGACATAGCAAGTATTGAGCCAGAAGCATCTACTTCTCAGCATTCTAATTCAACAACCGATTTTTTACCTGATCCTATAACAGTACCCAGCCCATCTATTTTACCTGAGTCAGTCGAAACGGTTTCTCCAAATGTACAAGATCATATTGAGCACCTGGAAAATATTGATTTACTTTCTGATAGTAATACTGAGGTTGATACTGGTGTAAGTAATACTCAAAAGAGTCTTACTTGTATATACTGTAACCAACAAACGAAAAAGCACAAGTCCAAAAGATTGCCGCTAATTTCCTCTGAGCATCAAGTTTTTTTATCCAAAGTAAAAAAAGAATATGAAAATAATACAGAGTTTATTGATAAAATTGTGAATTATTCCCATCCTCATGTATATTATCATAACATCTGTCAATTGAATTTTTCATATGAAGCCTCATCAAACAAAAAAACTACTAAAACTGATTGGCATGATCTTCGTGAACAACATCAAGCTGCTTTTGCTGAAATATGTTCCTTTATCGAAGACAACATTGCTGCTATTTAAATATAAGTGGTATTTTTAAAAAATATTTTTTAGTTCTAATTAATAAATTGAAAAAAAAATTAAAAATGTCGGCTAACTTTAGTATTATTTATTATATGTCAATTTTTTTTCTTATTTTTGTTGCTATAATTTACTTGTCAACAAAAAGTTCTAAAAATTATAAAATATCTGTTCAAGTAATTTTCATGGCTTTAACAGCGCAGTCGGTCTCACTCAGTCTCATGCGCGTAGATAATGCTCTCGCGCTCCCACTGACAGAGATATTAAAATTTAGTTTAGGGGATGATTGGCCCCTTGGATCGGTCTGTCTTCTTGTCAAAGCTTTTAAAATAGTTGTCGGATGAACATATATAAAAATGGAGCGTCAGAATTTACGTGAAGTTGACTAATTATTTTGAGACCCTTAAAGCGTCTGTCAAGCAATATGGCCGACGGAAAGTGTCTGGGAGTATTGACAATTTATTTTTAACTATACACTCGAAAACATATATAAAAATCAGCCATGAGAATTTACGTGAAGTAAGTAATGTTTTTGTGTACCTTGATTACCTGATACCTGGAAATTGGCCGTTTGACCAAGCTAGCAGGTAGGCATACGATCATAGTACATACTAACACTACTCAATCGTCCACATTTCATCCGTCAGAAAATACGTGACGTCTGGCGGCCCTGGGATCTTGGACTATCAGGGCTTATTATTTTAAGATGAAATTGTGCAACAACTTCGTTCTTTGTTGTACATTATTAAATGAAAAAAGAATCGTAAAACGGATGCAGGAATGTGTCTAACTCGCTGACATAACCAGAGACTGAAGAATAGTTAAGATAGATAAATTACGTTACAGATAAAACGCAAGATAGCAAAGACACTGATGGACTTCTCACGGGAAAGGTAAATTTCGCTTTCACTATAATTTTATAATTAAACAGAAATTATAGGTGGATTTTACTCTTCGTAAATGGCTAATTGGCGTGTAATTCTGTAGGTTCGTTATATCTATCTGGAACCATACCTATACCTGCAGCTGAGTTTCATCATCGGACGTCGAGGCAGAATACGAAATTCCACCCGTATCACCTCGATGTCCACCGGTCCACAACTGAGCGTTTTTCAAGGCAGTGTAGCATACACGTGTATCATAAAATAAAAAATAAAATGTCGATAAAAATATGATACATGTGTATGCTACAGCAGTTTTTGTCGCGCACTACCACTTGTGGACCCAGCTGCCCACTGAAGTATTTCCGAACCAATTCGACTTAGGGTCCTTCAATAAAAGAGCGTACCAATTCTTAAAAGGCCGGCGACGCACTCGCGAGCCCTCTGGCATTGAGAGTGTCCATGGGCGGCGGTGTCACTTTTCTATTAAATAACATAATAATTATTTGTCGTGGCTCTGCACGAATCCTGCTCTTTTAGTGAATTATATTTTAGGGTAAGATTAGAAACGAGAATTAGATTCCCGTATTTCTAAAATGTTCTTAGAATTCTGCATTTCACCCTTGGCGTCGAGATTTAGACGTATATCTTACCCTTAGATCGAACAACTCCAATCCAATGTATTTTTGTGTGAAGTCTGCTTTACCCACCGCATCATAAATTAGATAGAGTCACCTGATGGTTTATTTTTTTAGGTAGGAACAACACTGTACGTGGCACCCGAGCTACAACAGTCCGCAACCAAAGTTATATACAATCAGAAAGTAGATATTTACTCCCTCGGAATTATTCTATTCGAAATGTTCCACGCACCATTTGAAACTGGCACCGAAAGGTTCACAGTATTAACCAATTTGAGGAAAACTGATGTTATGCTGCCCCCGGACTTTGTTAAAGAGGAGAATGCTAAGCAGATTCATGTTATAAGGTACGTCTAATTAAATATCTCTTACGTGTTTGGGTTTTAGCTGTAAAAAAAACTAGCTGAATCTGTTTCATGGTAATTTTTTTATCTATTAGGTGATCAGCCTCCAGTGCCTGACACACGCCGTCGACTTTATGGGTCTAAGATGCGTCGGTTTCCTCACGATGTTTTTCTTCACCGTTCGAGCAAATGTTAAATGCGCACATAGAAAGAAAGGCTATTGGTACACAGCCGGGGATCGAACCTAGCTCTGTTTTTATATTTATATTAAAGATTTTTTTATATGCATTTTAAAAGGATTACGAACTATAAATAAAAGATCGAGTCTGTGGAAAGAAGGCAGTTATGGGAACTAATAGAATTCTTGGAAAAGGAAAGTCTTATACCCAAAAAGTCGACGGCGTGTGTCAGGCACTGGAGGCTGATCACCTGATTACCTATTAGATTAAAAATTATCATGAAACAGATTCAGAAATCTGAGGCCAAGACCTAAAGAGGTTGTAGCGCCACTGATTTATTTTTTATAAAAAAAACCTACTAAAATTCTCCATGTTCTTGTCGACTGGAAATAGTGTTGTTAAATTTCAGACACAGTGCACGAAAAATTCCATTTCATCTATATTTCAGATGGCTGTTAGACCACGATGCGGGTTTAAGACCGACTAGCGCAGAGTTATTGGCCAGCGAACACGTTCCTAGAGCAGTTCCCGAAGGAGCTCTGTCCGGACTTTTGTCCCATACCCTGTCAGATAGGGGTTCGAGGGGATACCAAAGACTTGTCACAGCCTGTTTGGAGCAAAAGCCGTCGCCGGCTGAAGACTTTACATACCACAGTGCGATGAAAACGAAACCTATGGAAGTTATCGGTGCTATTAAAGATGTTATTACTAAGGTATTGCTTCTCTAAGTTACAGTTTTTTTACTTAAAAGGCCGGCAACGCACTTGCGAGCCTCCTGCCCATTTACCTCCTGTTACATTAAAAAAAATATAGGTTTCCCGAATATCCTAGCATTAGGTTCTAAACTGGAATGCCTTAGAACCTAAAAGTTGAGGCCACGTGTCAGGCACAGAAGGCTGACACGTGGCCTATTTGCATTATAAAAAAAAGGATCTCGAAACAGATACAGTAATCTTAAGTCAAAACCATGAGTTCTTCACTGTTTTTTTATACCTTCTGCATACCAGGGGCATGACAAGAATTCGCACTCCAGACGGTAACAGATCGCGATTAAGTTTACTGCCTTTTAATATTGAATACTTCTTTTTTGTTGTCTCGTTTCACAAATCGGTTGTTGAAGAACTGTTTGGCGATAGACACGTTGTACTACATAATTTTTTAAATATAACTTGCCATCTTTAGAGACAAATATCTTGGCACGAAAGTTGGTAAGATTCTATGTGATAGGACAAAGTCGTGCATGTAGGAAAATAGCTGCGCATGAGTTGACTCTGGCCAATCTTTTTTGCCTTCACTTGTCTGGTAATCAAATACTACGTGTAATTTGCAGGTGTTCAGAAGTCACGGAGCGATAGAATTTTCACCCCCGCTCCTGATCCCGCGAGCTAAAAGATGGGACCAATGTCCCAATTCGGTGAAAGTTATGACTCTGTCTGGTTCTGTTTGTCATCTGCCGCACGATTTGAGACTGCCTTTTGCCAGGTAAAAGAAATCACATGCCAGGGAATGTTAAGTAAGCGTTACTAGAAATATAATTGGGAGGAAAACACAAACAATATTTTCTTTACAAAAATTAACACAAAAATATAAAATATTTTGTTTAATTAGATGTCTAAGACTACTTTTTCTTGAAAAAATGTTTTATGCACCATGTACCACGGAATTGTAATCTAGTTACTCACAACACAGGGGCTACTAGTGGGAACAAGCGTTAGATAAATTTTGTCACAACCATATTTATGTCGTGAATACTTTATATATTCTTGAAGCCTTGTTGTACTTTCACCAGTATAATACTCGAAACAGAACTTATCTGAGCGTACCAGGTCAGGCCAGTCACCAAACCAGGCTCCAGAAGATAAACCACTCCTTATATGGAAATTGTATTCGTTTTTACAACAAACTCCCAAGCGAAATTAAAGAATTATCACTAAATAATTCAGAATTCTTAAATGTAAATTAATTAATAAAGCTTTTGATTTGCTCTAGTTCAAACAATTTATATGACTCAAAACTTAGCGATTAAAAAGAGTGGTGGAAAGTTTCTTGCCAGTTCTTCTTGCCCGCTCTACGCCCTTGACTTGCGAACTGGCAGTAAATTTACAATAAATTTAACTTATTTCTGACAATTCATAAGTGTACTTGTTTACCTATATGAATAAAGTTATTTTGAGTTTTATTATTTGCATTATCTATATGCAATATCGTAATACTTACGAACGCTTAATTTTTAAATCGGGATATTGCAACAGGAACTTCAAATTTATTATTATTCCAGGTATATAGCATATTCGGGATCGAAGTACATGCGCCGGTATGTAGTGGACCGCGTTTATAGAGAAACTGAGAGGACTGTGAAGGGATTCCATCCGAGAGAAATTATAGAATGCGCGTTTGATATGGTCACACCGAGTAATGGTATGTTGCCTGAGGGTAAAACTTGCTGAGTTTCTTGCCCGTTCTTCTCAGAACAAGGCCTCCTGGTAGTTTTGCGAACGGATGGCGTAGTCTTGCTCTTTCGCGAATTTTCTAAACGTTTTTGACATTCATATGCATGCCCTAAGACGCATCTAAATTGAATAAACGTATTTTGATTTTGATTGATTTTTTTATTTAGATTTTATAAAATGTTAATTAGCTCATTTATTTTTATTATTTTGATAATTAATTTTCAGACACGCTGTGGCCTGACGCAGAACTTTTAGTTGTGGCGTGTCGAGCGGCTACCGGTTCCTCCCTTAAGGTCACCCTACAATTGAACCATACAGAGTTGTTAAAAACATTATTGTTATCCTGTGGTGTGCCGTTGGACAAGCACGCTTTGCTTTATCCTGTGCTCGTTGATGTCAGTTTGGGTATGTCATTTTATATTTTGGACTTCACAAGTATTGTTTAATGATATAATTTTGTCCTACTTAGATTCAAGAGAAGCTTAAAAGATTTGCGTTTGATAATCATTTTGGTCAGAAATTTCTTTATTAAATTTAAAAATAATCATGAAACAGATTCAGAAATCTGAGGCCCAGACCTAAAGACGTTGTAACGCCACTGATATATTAATTTATTTAATTTAAACTATATAATGACGTTGTTAAAATTTGTGTCAGTCGATCTGGTATACGCTTTTGACAAATCAATTTATATGGCAAGTAACAAAATTTAATGACGTCATGCCCAATGAACTTAACTTTGTGTGCAACTGACGCCATTTATGTTTAGGTTAGTTAGCTTATTAGCTAACTTGTCACATCGGCGTCGTGTGTTACCAATTATTGATTTCATTTTTATACAGGATGGGCACTGATTGACCGTTTCATTATTTTATTGAATTAATTATATTTTTGAAGTTATACTTCTTTTGGCGCGTTAGGGAAATATGTTGAGAGTAAATTTTTACGATGCGCGCGCACACCGTCACAAAAAACCGACACCCTGAATATCTGTTCAAACGTCGGTAAAACAGTCTGGGCCGCTAGTTGGCGCTTGTTCTGTTTTATCGACAAGTTGAATTGTCTGTCATGGCGTAGTGTTTTTCAGTCGTGTTTATTTAAACAAAAATAATTATTTCTATACCAGAAAACCCAATGTGATAAAAAACATAGTGTTTATTGTATATCATGATTAGTACATATTATATCATTTCGATTGGAAGTCACCATTAAAATAAACAAGAAAAATGCAATTCCAAGAAGGAAACGTCCCTCTAAAGTGCTCGAAGAAAATTATTACGCCAAAGAAGTATAACTTCTAACGCGTGTTCATAAGTACATGTTTTTTATATTTAATATTTATATTTAACATATAACTTCATGAATATCTTTCGATCAAGGTCGCATAACAAACCTCCAACTCCAGACCCATTTAGCCACGCTCTGTGTGACAAATCGGGACATCACCAACCTCTTACGTCTCATGGAGGCTGATGTAGATGTCAAGCAAGTGAGTGAGCTGGTGGCCCAAGTGAGGAGAGATCGGAGTGAGACTTTGGAGAGGGCTGTGAGAGAGTTGGAGACTGTTTGCAGTTATGCTGCTGTTTTGGGGTGTGAGGTACGAATATAATTTACTGAAACTTTATAAATTAATGAAAATATCCATTAATAATATAGGATACTAAATGACGAAATGCTTCTAAATTTACGTTAACTGACAGCTCTCAAATCAAGCGCAGAACGGACGCCAGAACTAGTAATAAACTTTTCGTCACTCTAGCGATATCAATATAAATACAAATAATGTTAAATGTGTGTTGTAAAAACACTTTTGCAGTGATAACTTCTTGTGGGAGGGTATCGCTTCGTTACGTAACGCGTTACGGCGCCAGTCTGTCTAGCTTTTTTTTCTCTTATGCATACGGCAGCGGTAGGCCGGCTTCTTTTTTCTAACTCGTAACTCGCAGCGCTAGCCGTATTTCGGACAGACGCTTCCCATCTCTCTAAAGGAGCAACTAGAGTCGTATTTTTTAAATATTTTTAACTTGTAATTTTGACTTTCAAAAGTGCCTTTTTAATAGGCCTTATTAAAATAAATGATTTGACTTTGACTTCCTACTCAGTGTTTAGTGTGCGTTAGACATTTACTGTTGACGGTGAGCATATAACCTCAAACTATCACCTTTTTGAAAGTGATTATTAAAAATATGATGAATAAAGCAGAAGATGATACTCGGAACATTACAGAATTAGAGAGTTCAACTGAAAATAGTTTAACTTATCACTTCTGTCGGGCACACGAGACGCACACATTTTTTGATGTGAAACATCTATAGCCGCACGTAAAACCGATTTTTGGCGTGGCGACGCGTTGCTATATGAATGTATATATATACAGTCTATATGCAGGTGTGTGTATTTCGAAGTCACTGATTAAACGAATTAAGTAGTCACGATTTGAAATAAATTCGTAAATTATTGTATTTAATGAAAATAAATGTTTATTCAATAAATAGTCATGGTAATCTGAAAAAAAATCGTAATATTTTAACTTTTCTGCTTTTCATATTACTTTTACAAAGTAATGTCGATGTTTCACATCTGCCAGGCGTCCCGTGACGGCTCACATTTTTTTTAAATTTAATTTATAATTGAATGTTATCAGTTAGTTCCTTAAAACGCATTTGTTTTTAATTTTTTATTGTTTCTCTTAATGTTTGAAGCTCGATACATACTAAATATTTAATTTGTGGTTTTATTTATTTATTAACAAGAGCTTGCCAACGCTCGGCACACTGAAACTTTGGTAAATATGGAAAATAAAATACAAGATTTAATGTGACAAGCACTTACAGGAAAAAAAATGCATCGGTTCATAAATTATAAAAACTTAGGGAAAAATGATTTCCAGCTATGGTATCATTTTTCCCTAAGTTTTTATAATCCCCTTACCCTAAGTTTTGATATCCACACCCAGCTCGTTTATCAGAATGCTCAATCTGGATATCGGTAATTCCAACGTAGTAATGGTTAGCATATTCAACTTTATTACCTAAGTCTCGCGCTTATAAACACAGAAATATAAAACTCGATTCGAAATATAAATAGGAATTTCTAAGAATTGTTTTTAATTTATTTTTATAAATAATTTCCGATGTTTCAATATTAAATTTAATCTGTACAGTGCGTGTCACACATCTTATCGGGCTATGAATAGAGAGTAAGAATAGTTGCGTATGCGCACACTACTAAGCTAGTCTCTTGCGTTATTAACCAATCTCAATAAAAAATTACCGTAATTATCGACTCGAGTTTTTTTCATCGCTGATTCGCCGTTGCTTCATTGAACTGGATTTTTTACGATTTATCAAAACAATTTTTAATAAAATTTCAGTGTCCAATAACAGTAGCTCCTTTCCTCGCGTACAATGCGACGCAGCACCGCGGCGTCTTTTGGCAGATGTCAGTATTGAGACAACCAAAGGTGGCCAAACATCGCTCTAAAGATCTTATAGCTGCCGGCGGACGGTAAGCATTGATTACCATACAATTGGGAGATTAGTTGAATTTCTTATAAGTTTTATTCAAAAAAATCAAAATAAAAAATTTCTTTATTCAATAACACTTCTGCGTCACCCACAACTATTTATGATATCCACAAGCAACAACAATGTATCCCAGAATGGTCCGCTCGCTAGAATGTGCAAGAATTATGATTCTATGTGTTCTCATGTTGATATTTTTCACAATAGTATTTATGAATTTAAAAAGATTATTCGCGGTGTAGACTTGCAACCTCAATAACTTAATTTTTTGTCATTAAATTTAATATATATACTGTATGCTGTATGTAATTATCAATATTTAGCAAACCAGCACTGAAGATTCCACTAAAATGCTGTTTAGTGTGTAATAACTGTATGTATTTAACCAATCTGTTTTCTGTTTTTGTACCTAAAATGTAAAAATAAAATAAAATAAACAAGTTACATTGTTTTAGCAGGTATTGGAGCACCTTAACTAAGTCTAGGGAGACCTGTACATCAGGGTACTCCAACTGTGTAATGAAATTGTCACTAAACAATATTTAACAAAATACTGAGAGAGAGAAAGCTAAGATTACTATTATACAACTATTACTAAAATAAATATACAGGTTGACATGGTTAAGACAGTTGTATACACCAGAAGTGAATGACTGTGATAATGTTAAGGAAGGGATGGATAGAATGTGAGGTGGAGATTGTTAGTGGAAATGAAAAAATGGTTACATTTTTGCCCTTGACTTTCAAAATGATGTCTATCTCATTTATATTTCTTTTAGCAAATAGGTTAGGGTTGCTTTTCATAAAAATCGTGTTAAAACTCATCCATCTAGTGTCAAATTCAAACAATCAAGGGAGACATTACTAGTAATTTATAACGAGAAGGTAATGTTTTCGTAATAATTTAAAAGTTATGAAGAAATAGGCATTGGGAGTTCCTAATAATCTAAAGCTATGATTAACAATTCTTGAGTGATTAAAAGTTTTGCACTGCAAATGCTGCTTTATACATAATCCAGTGTCCTTATTTCAGCTTTGGCTTCAGACTGCATCTGTCAATGATTCTCTTTATATAGACAATAGACCAGCCCTTGCGTATAAATATAGATTTTTGCCTGACTTTGACAAATGAATACACGCAGTTCATTAGAAAGAAATATTCCTTTTGAATAAATAACATAACTTTTTTTTTTAGAATACATTTTTATATTACAAGTAACATAATTAACAGTAGGTACATAAAAATATACGTAATATGAACGTACGAACGAACAAAGCCGTATACGTTTCTAGATTACATTTTTGATTAAAAATTTCAGATATGACAACTTGGTAGAGGAGTTTCGGAAGATCGCCCGAGCAGAAAAGGACCACGATGGTGCCCAACTGAATTGCAGTTCAGTCGGATTTTCGATGGCGTTAGAAAGGATGGCGGCCATTTTGAAATGTTTAGAGGTAGAAGTGCCTCCCGTTGTGAAAACGCCAGAGGTACATAATGTGTTGTAAGAATATGTTATAGTAATATATAATCCTTAACGCAGCTATTCTAGTATATTCTAAACTATTGTTTATTATTGGGATTCTGATAAAAACCTTATCATTTCAGTAATTCAACACTGATAATTGTACTCACATTGAGTTTATGTTAAATTCAACATTTTCAGCACGAACTAATATGCGTATGCGTAACGGGCGCGTACGAGAACGTAACAACAAGTCGGGGTCAGCTCGCACGTGAGTTGTGGGCGCAAGGCTACAGGGCGGTCGTATGGCCCTGCAGTGCGAGGGAGTCGCACGATCTCACGAAAGCCTCTATAGTACTGGTGCAGGACGGGAATTATGTCTTTGTGTCGTATTGGGAAGGGACTAGGTATGTATGGGATATTTATCGTCTTTATGTAGCTACAATGCCTTTAAACTGGTCAAGAAAATAGAAGCCACTTACTATTATTTTTGTTTCTACTACAGAGCCGCCGCTTAAAAAAAAGAGAATTTGGGCATATATAACTTATATACCTTAGCGTATAACATACATTCCAAATGTATCACCTCGACGTCCGTCGTTCCACAACTGAGCGTTTTCTAAGGCAGTTTTTGTCGCGCGCCACCTAACATTAAATACATTTTTTTGTATAAGAAATATCATTTATTCTTTTCAGAGTACGTGAATATAAAGTGCAATTTACGGATGTCATAGATTTCGTGAAACAAAAACTTAGCCCCGAAACAGCCATACGGAATCCTGAGTATGGTGAGTTTTTAATTATTATTCATACAAATTCGTGAGATTGTTAAAATTCAAACATTTTCAATGGAAATTTAACACTATAAATTGGTCCGTACGAGCGGAACACGATAAGCAGTAGAATATTTGAAGTGGTTTTTGATGTCCAGGTTGCAAAGGCTGAATGTACTTTAAAGATATCTTATATATTTAAGATATCTTGGTTCAAATAGTTTAATTCTTTTATAGTTTTTAGTTTTATGGTTGTTTGTATTAACACTGTTGCACGCCTCGCAGTGCTCTACTCTCGACATGTCAAAAAACTCAGTCTTTCGAAACTTGAATGACTTTTTTCTCACTAATATAACACTTACAGGATAATATGAGTGCACTAAAATCGAGTTAAATAATCTATCAAGCACATATGGTATTTTTTATGAACAATTATTTTGTTTAACATAGTAAATAATAACATTAAAATCAATCATTCTTGGACGTCCGTCAGTCTGTGTTTATGGATCCATGTATGTGGCAGAGAAATTGGTCGAAAAATTTATCGTACCAGAATACTTTTTTCTTATTATATAAAATTATACCCTGGGCTGATTCCTAGTTAATATTAGCGTTCTAAGTACTGTCGTTTAATTATAATTTGTAAAAAACTAAAATACGACTGTGTATTGCACGCCTCGGCAGTTTATTATATTAATTATTTTTGTATGTATGTCAATTTATACAATGTGTTTGTCCTAATTTTGTAGTCCAAATAAAATAAAAAAAAGTTAAAAAGTTTTATGCTTTTATGTGGACGCAAGGGAGTGCGACCCCAAAGTCAAACAAAAAAGCCATACGGCCGTACAAATGATCGTGAAACAGATCTGTATTTGATTGTGTAAATCTGAGGCGCAGACCTAAAAAAGGTTGTAGCGCGACTGATTTATTTTGTTTATTTCAGCGCCATCTCTGTCATGCAGTCCAAACAATAATGCTTTCTTTTTGCACTTTTCTACAAAAATTTTTAGTTACAAAGTTTTCTTTAAATAATTTAAAAGCAGTTTCAAAATTCAATTATATATGTTAATTGTTCTACGATGAAAATATGGTTTGGCGACATTTGAGTTTGTTTCGCATTTGATTTTTTTTAAATAAAATGGACTCCTGATGGTAAGTGATACCGCCGCCCATGGACACTCAATGATAGAGGGCTCGAAAGTGCGATACCTTTTAAGAATTAGTCCGCTCTTTTCTTGAAGGACCCTAAGTCGAATTGGTTCGGAAATACTTTAATGGGCAGCTCATAGACATGACAGACCTACAATTCCTAATTTCTTAAAATTTTATTTTCTTACCTATATTATGGGTGTATAGGTAGTCGGTCGGTAAGTTGGAGTGAGAGTGACAGAACGAGCGGTCCCTGTATTTCTGTCACATTCGTGAAAGCCTCCGAGAAAATCACCAAAAATTGTAAACGACATTGTGAAGTGCAGGTATTCATTTTACTTAAAATATTATTTCATTTGTTATTATATTAATTTAATATTTCCATTGATTCATTTATCAATATATTTATAATAATTATAAATAGTTTATTTGCAAAGAAAGTTAGCCATATAAAAATAGGCATGCAAATGTCATATTAATAATCATAATGTCAATAATAAGAACAGTTAAGTGATTTATAACTGTTGTGAAAACTTATGGTCTAAATACTCTCCCTTTAAAGACACCTCACCTCTTTGAAAGCATTACACGGCAGTGATCTACAGCTTCTGGGAAGGTGATTAAATAGTTTGATAGCCATGGCGTAACCATTTTTAAATATATGTGGATGTTGGTAGACATTATTTATACTGCTCTCGTAAAGTCGACTCGTTATGTTGTCAAACAGTCGTTTCTTTGGTCGTTAAAATTCATTTGGAGTTACCTGAGTTAAGTTCTGTGCCGGTTGTTGTAGATGTGTTAAATGAAAGACTTTCGTTGAAGCTACGAAAAACGCTTCAATTGTTTAAAACAAGCATATAACTAAAATAACATTAGGGGTAGTGGGTTGCGTTGGGTTAACAAATAACTAATTTGACTTATTGAAGAGTTCGTAAATCTAAATGACACTTATGGACATTATCGGAAACGAGAATTTTAAATTACAAATTATGAGTGTGGGAAAAACTAAAGGACTCCTTTTGGATTCAAGTTTGCGATGATTGTTTACATTTCGCTTCTAAATATATATACCTTAACTAATGTAAGGACACATCATTCCCGCAACAACATTTATTGACCAGATCATTTAACTACAGATAAACAACCAAGTAACCACCATCCTCCAGCACCTGGGGGTACAGAGCGCGGGTCGCGTGCGCGTGAGTGTTCTAGCGCTCAGTTGTGAGTCCGCGTGCGTTCGCTTGCTTTGCGCGCACCTGTCCGCGCCCTTGCACGTGCATTACTTGCCGCATGCGTTTCGACCTGTCACTGATAGGTATGTACTTATTAATCGACTTCAAGAGGAGACATTGATATTGCTGTGCCTAACCAAGGTCTTATTGTAAAACATGAACATAAGGAATGCAATGAAGATTTGAGTTTGAGTTTTAAATATAACAAATTGATTAATATCACTCAAAAGATGTCGCTTTACATAATAAGACAAGGTAACAGATTAAATTAAACTTCCAATATATCTTAACCCTTAATTGGTCGCGTGGGGTGTCATACACCCCAGAGCGCGTTCCCAGGCGCACAACTTTTTAAAATTTGAATTTAGCGCGCTGCTCTTCTAAGTACCTTCGTAAACACTTAAAACGTACATGATTCAGTTGCGAGCGGTTGTGGACGGTTGGGCTCGGAGAGTGTGTTTGGGGTGCACGACACCCCAGGTGACTGTTTGTGTGGTCTAAATTCCGAGTAAGTAAATAGTTGTTAATTTTATGTGCAACCTGATGGACAACATTCAAACTACCCTCTGATACCAAAAGTCTAGTAAAACGATTGATAGAACCTATTTCCGGGACTGGAAGAAATGTTACCATGGACAACTGGTTCACTAGTGTCCCACTGGCCAAATCGCTTTTAGATGAACATACGCTTACCATGGTGGGCACACTGAGAAAAAACAAGCCCGAAATACCAAAGTGTGTTCTTACCGGAAAAAAAACGAGAGACGACTTCTAGCATATTTGGTTTCCAAAAAGATATGACTTTGTGCTCATATGTGCCGAAACCAAGAAAAGCAGTTCTGCTTTTATCGACAATGCATCACGATGATGACGGGTGAGAAAAGAAAGCCCGAAATTATTCATTTTTATAATAAAACGAAAGGGGGAGTTGATACGAACGACCAAATGTGCGCCACTTATAATGTAGGAAGACGTACCAAAAGATGGCCGATGGTGATATTTTTTCATATTTTCAATATCACAGGTATCAATTCCTATGTAATATACAAATCTAAAATTGACTCCAATATATCCCGAAGACTATTTATAAAGCTACTGGCTGTTGATTTAGTCAAACCTCACCAAATATCAAGAGCCAGCATACCCACACTACCACGACCGCTGCAAAAACGACTAAAAAGACAACATGAAATTCAGGACCAAGAATCTATTTCTGAAGCAGGCCGATCGCAATCATACAAAAGGTGCCATGTATGTCCAAGAAGTAAGGACAGGAAAACAAAGACTGAATGTTTTAAATGCCATAAACATGTGTGCAATGACCATATGAATATAGTCTGTAAAAATTGCAACGATTAAAACTAGGATTTGTAAAAAATATTTTTCATATTCAAAAAATAAGTTGATTATATTAAAAATATGTTTAAAAGTTGATTAATATGTAAGTTAAAATGTTCTAATTAATACAAGTGTGATTTTGCATGTATTTCGTATTTTATTTTATTTCCTAATTCTGGGGTGCTAAGCACCCCACGCGACCGCTTATGCAACTTTGTAGGCGCGCCCAATTAAGGGTTAATATACTTATATAAATTACGGGTTACGTTGTTTGTCCGCTATGGACTCCTAAGCTACTGAACCGATTTCAATCAAATGTGCACACCGTGTGCAGTTTGATCTAACTTATAAGATAGCTTACATCTCACCGCATCTACCCGCAATATTATTTTATTGCAAAATATTTGTTTATTTTGATAGTCACAATTCTAACAGATGGCGCTGTGTTGAAAGTACCAACGTTTCAAATAAGCTACAATGTAATGGCATAACCACCAAAAAAGCATGGTGGTCCCCATGACTGGTGTTCTCCTACCGTTTCTCTTGAATAGTTTACTACTATGTAATATAACAAAAACCTTAGCCACAGCAACGCTTGGCCGGTCTGCTAGATGTATTATATAATTTAAATGTTTTTACTGCAAATGCTTATAAAAATCAATTATCAGCGAGAGACTATTAAAGGGACTACGTATTGGATACAGTATAGTCTATAGATATTAAACGAGAATTGATATTGTTGAAACTGTAGTATAATCTATTTCGCGAGTGTATGGTTTCTTCCTTTTCTTTTAAATCAGGTTTCAACTTAACGAAGAGTCCAAGTTTCATTAAAATAGGTTATATAATCTCCAAGTCCAATCTTGTTTTAAATAAATTGAATAAAGCGAGTTGTAAGTGTTCGCGGTTCTTCCAGATTTCCGAAGAGACAAGATATCCTCGAAGAGGCCTTACACGAGTTGACGAATCTAGTTAAACAAGGAAACCAGGGCCGGGCGATGGACGAAATACAACTTTACGCACTATATTCCATCCCGGATTCACTATGCAGGATAATTACTTGATATTTTAGGTATTTTTAAGTTGTTATTTTAAAGACACATCTCCCCTGTATTTCACATGTCTCGCTGTAGAATGATAACCTCATATGTCAAAAAACCATTTATTTTTTATTCTTAGACTCTTATGTCATTTAACTGCTATAATCATGAAGTAAGGACTTATTTATGTTATTAATAAAGAGGTCATTTTAACCATCCAAAGCTTTGTACAAAAACACAATAATATTTTAACAAACATTGACAAAATAAAATATTTTTCGTTTCCTGTAATGTTTGGTTCTCTGGACATACGAGGTATGATTGTACAGCGACGATATTATCTTACTTTAGCCTTTTTAGACAATTTGATACCAGCGCTGTGTTATCGTCCTTGACTAACTAAATGGTAACAAAAACTGGCCAGGTTTATGGCAGCATAGATTATAGAATTTGTAGAGAATTTTGTTGACGGACCTAACTAGTACTAGGAAAACAGTATTGACAATTTACGTAAATTTTAATTACACATTATCCAAATTTATTAATTAAAAGTCCACCAGTGTCCCATTTCTTCACTAGATGGCGTAAAGTATATTTTTTGGATTAAATATGGAATTTAAGTTTATAATATGTTTTGTAACGCTATTTTGACCTAATTCTGAAGGCCAAATATAAATTATATGAAATGAGGCATAATAAATAGTTATTTTATGAAATAAATGCTTAATTTAAGTACACCGTAATAATAGTTCTACTTGAGAAAAGTGTTCATACATCAACTTTTAAAAATTTATGACGAAAACTAGGAAAATTTAGTCTTACATACATCAAATTTTTTTACAAAATTCGCGGGGGATCATTTTATTAACAGCATGTAGTGCCATAATTATTTAATACAGAGACAACGTATACTTAATAATATTACACAATACGTAAACAAGCTTCGCTAACACACATATGTTTATGTCTAATAGTATTGTAATTTCATACCTGGAAAATGATAAATCATATACCTTTTTGAATATATATATTTTATTCAGAAAGGAAACTTAATTTAAGTCTGCCTTCCGTATGTCAAAAATGTATTGGATTTTGACATATGGAAGATATGTTTCGTGTTAAGTTTATGAATATCACTCTTAGAGTCAGCGATGTTGCAAGATATATATAATGTAATATTTATTAATGTAATTTTTTCCCCTATTTTTGACAAATTTGACTCACAAGACTGTTTTTTAAGCTTCAATGATTTTATAAAATGAATTTTTTGTTGCAAAGCTTTTATATGTACCAATGTTTATTGGAATAAATATCTTGACTTCATACGACTGACCCAATAATGATGCCATTGTTTATAATTTTAAACTCTTACACCCGGGACTCAAACCGGCACTGCACTACCGTTGCAATCTGAATCGTGGGACGGTTCAGATTAGACGTAGGGGAGAGAAAAATATATTTTCATTATTTTCTTATCAAAATAAAGAAAATTATTGCGAAAGTGTTTATTTCATCAATAAAATTTGTTTACTGTTATCCTTACGGAATAAATATAAAGGGAAGGTCTGTTTAATTACTGTTCTATAAACAGCGCTGGTACTCTGTATAGCGATTCCGACCTCAATATCGAGTTTTTGTTCCCAAATTCAATATAGTTTTTTGGATATCCGTAGCACTGATAATAATCGCGCGGTACTATTGAAATTGGTATGGCTATCGCTATTGGTAGTTACAGATTACCAGCCCAGTGCCTTTTCTAACCATAAAATAGGCTATTTGACGAAATTTAGGCTGCTGCCTCGAATTTTGCGGGCAGCGGGGTGGCGGCGGCTGCGGCGCGGGAGCGGGCGATTGCACCTCTCGTTACCCGCCCTCGCGCTGCTGCCACGCCGCTGTTTTCGAGAACCGGTCCAATTGATTTTACGCATAAGATCCTGCCGCTCCCGCGCCGCCGCCGCTGCCGCCCCGCTGCCCGCAAAATTCGAGGCAGCAGCCCTAGAGTGTCTCAGTGACAATAGACTTAATTGTTATTTATAATTCTGTTACGTACGGCTTTAAAAATTCATATCAAACATTGATAATTTCAAAAAACTCCCAAATTGCCATCCTACGAAAGACGTATCATGCTTCTAAACACGTAAACAAACATGTATTTGTGTTAATTAAAATTCTTAATAATCTCCGATAAAACTCTAAGAATATTCAAAATTATACAGGCAAATACATTACGAGTACTGGCATGGTACGTCTTCGTCGATTCGAATAATCTGTGACCATTTTGTGTCACGTGACAGACGTTTAAAAATTAATATTTTTAATTATCTACAAGTTATTTTACTCCATAGCGCATTATAGTGACCCCCACACTAGCGTCTTCTAAGCGTCGCGCGTCGTCGTCGTCATGTCAGCGTCCGCACAGCGTCGACGTGACGCTAGCGCTAGCCGCGTGCCGGGCTGACGCGGCGCCAGCGCAACGTTTTTTACGAACAAGTACTATCGAGTACATACAACTACCGTGCGTCAGCCCGGCACGCGGCCAGCGCTAGCGTCGCGTCAACGCTGTGCGGACGCTGAAACGACGACGACGCTCGGAAGACTCTTAAGACCCCCCACACTAGAGTCAACAATCCATTTATACAGATTACACTTAAAAATCAAATAGCCTATTATAAACATAAAAAGTATGGTTGTCTAATCAAGCAATCCCATCTTTATTTATCTATTACGTAATTATTACCTAATACAGATAGTGCCAGTATCACACTGATATAGTTAAGAAAATGTGAATTTTATACAGAATCCTTTGAACAGGTTAACTTTAAAAAGATGGACGTATCAATAAAAAAAATTTTTTGTTGTAAAATTTAGTTGAACATACTTATTATTTTAAGTTTTCCTGTACAACGTGAGCTCTTATATTAAAATAAATTGTTATTCTTAATAATTTTATAATTGAAACAATAAATCTTATAAAAACGTTTTTTTATTCACTACGCAAATTGTTCCTATTACCTTAATTTATAGATCAATTGAAATCACTTCGATTAATTACTTAATTTATGATTTAAAAACTAAATTATCTACTATTCAGTATTTCTCGATTTCACACTAGACAGACATTTGTCTATCTATGGAATAATTTAAAGGTGAGGTGATCCCTCTTCTACCATCAAGAATCAAATATTGTATTGCCGGGAATCAAACTTGAGTAATCCGCCATGTACGAAATTAGAGAATTATCACTAAATAAATTCAAAGCGTAAATGAATCAATAAAGCTTTTTATAAATTTGACGAATATTTAAATGATGGTATTGATTTGCTCAAGTTCAAACAATTTGTATGACTAAAAACTTAGCGATTAAAAAGAGTGGCGGAAAGTTTCTTGCCAGTTCATCTTGCCCGCTCTACGCCCTTGACTTGCGAACTGGTAGTAAATGTAAATTTACGATTAATTATCTTCTTTTTTGACGTTCATAAGTGTACTTGTTTACCTATATGAATAAAGTTATTTATTTAATAAAACACTATTTTGACCGGATTGAAGTTATGTATTATTATAAATTTACAACTATTTAACATAATTTTAAATTTATCCGACATATATAATAATACATAACTTCAATCCGGTCAAAATAGTGTTTTATTAAATGAATAAAAGTTATGTTAATCAAAGACAATACTAAAGTTATTTATATTAAAGCCTTTTTGACATCGCACTAGTCTTTCATTTCTGCTCAAAAACAGTTATTGTAAAATCCCTAAAACCAATATATTTAAACAATCTAGTGCATAGTTCTCGATATAAGAGGTGCAAAGGTCAAATGTACGGGTGGTACTGAAGGTCCGTTTCCGGAAATGGAGCAGGCGCTAGTGAGGAGTATGCAAACAATGATTGACAGGAACATAGCCATTGTTGCCCAGAATAAGAGGATGATGAGGAACCTGGCACTTCGCCAGGGTAGCTGGGTACTCGTACGTAGTACTTCTTCGTAGCTCAGCGGTCTGGAAAGATAAAGGTTTACAATATATCATGACGTCTGAAGCTGATTACTATATAATTTCGGTTTTGAAATGCTGTTAAAAAAAATACTCACACACAGAAGATAATTTGACCCAATACGCCATTACCCATGGATCAGAATTCCACGGCTTTACTTGATGTTCCATGCAAAATATTTATTTTATAACAAATAATAATTTGTTTAAATAACTAGTCAGTGACTCACTATAGTATATATACATATAGTCACTATATTTTTGCTCGCCCTCGGAACATAAGTATTCCGCCAAACCAGCCGTGTGGAATTTTTTATCTTTTTATTATTTAAACTTTTGGAAAGGCTTTCAAGTGAATTGTTGTAATAATTGTGCATTACCATTTTCAATGTCGTATCTGTAGGCAAATAGAATTAAAGAAAGTTTTCATTATGGCGACATTCGATCTGCCGTCTTTATTGAAATATTATTTTCAAAATCAATTGGTTATGATGAAAAACTGTGGAACTTGCCTAAATGGATAAAGGAAAATTACTTTTTTCTTTAAACTTTAGCTATTTACATAACTCGACGTGTTGGATGCTTTATTGAAGAAACCAATAAAAAATGCATTTAAATGTACATGTCAACCAAAAAACCAATCATGACATTTACCGCCTCTTGAATTAGAAACTAGTCGATTGACCTAAAGAAATTAAAATCTTGTTTTGATTTGACGTCAAAGATATAATAAATATTTAAAACCGCCAAAAATTTTAAATCACGACCGGTTTTGAATGCAAGTTGCAATGTCAAAATCAGTTCTACTTACCCACTTAAAACTGCAGACAAGTTTTATTTTCAACCGACTTCAAAAAAGTTGATAGTTTACATATTAACGTGTACTTTTTTCGTACGTTCGATCATAAATCTGTCTGGATGTGTGCACAATAATTGAAATACCAAATGCTATGAGCTCCAGGATAATTATTGGCACTTAATTAACCATGGGACCATTTTATATAAACTAAGAAATGTTTAATATAATATATATCATTAATTGAACAATAAATAATGTATTATTAATTTTAAAAAATCAGTGGCGCTACAACCTCTTTAGGTCTTGGCCTCAGATTTCTGAATCTGTTTCATGATTATTTTTTTAAATCAAATAGGCAAGTAGGTGATCAGCCTCCAGTGCCCGACACACCTCGTCAACTTTTTGGGTCTAAGACATGTCGGATTCCTCACAATGTTTTCCTTCACCGTTCGAGCAAATGTTAAATGGGCACATAGAAAGAAAGTCCATTGGTGCACAGCCGGGGATCGAACCTACGACCTCAGGTAAGAGAGTCGCACGCTGAAGCCACTAGGCCAACACTGCTCCATATGTATTATTAATAATGATATATTCAAACTTTAAAATCAGAGACTACTAATAATAATGGCCTGCTTACTAATACAACAAAATATCATTTATAACATTAATAATAATGAGAAGTAGATTTTATTTTATTATATTAAACTTACCTCACTCTCCTTGCCTGCTGCAGCAATGGCTGTCTTTCCGGGTCCATTATTGTTTATGACAAATTATTAAATAAAGTGCAGTCGTCTTGGCGCGTAAGGTGACTGACTCCGACCTAAGATAACTTGGAAACAACGCATCGATACAATGTTATATATCGAATGTCGTTCATATTTATTACTGACCTTTGTTGTCTCTAGATTCTAATTATGGAATATAGCTTAATTATTGATGTCTTACGAATCTTACTTTGGACGGATGGAATTGTATCTTTGATCAGCTAGTACATTCAAAGTCTTGACTCTTGATGTCTTGAGTAGGTATGTGTTTCGAGGTCCAGTCCGATTGGACATGGGTCGGATGGATTTCTGTCTGTTTTTTTTATATATTTTATTTACTTTAGCCCAAGATATATTTATCTCCCCGGAACCGAACGTTAACCACAAATGTTGGGTGGAAACGTGAGACGGATGTTTGCCTCAATTAAATTCTTAGAGAAACTAACGATGTGATTAAGGAACTTGAGAAGTTTTCCATTGCCAACTTAAAGGTAACGTTAGGAGTAATACAGGTATTGGGTGATTTGTGAAATCGGACGAATTTAAATTAGTTTGCTTAGTTATATTGAGTATTAAAGAATTAGGTACTGTATATATACTAAAATACGTATTTAACAAAGGTTCAGTGTGCGACTCTCATCCCAGAGGTGGTAGGTTAGATCCCCAGCTGTGCACCAGTGGACTTTCTTTCTATGTGCGCATTTAACTTTCATTCGAACGGTGAAGGAAAACATCGTGAGGAAATCGATATGTCTTAGACCCAAATAGTCGACGGCGTGTGTTTGGTACTGGAGGCTGATCACCTACTTGCCTATTAGATTTAAAAATGATCATGAAACAGATTCTGAAATCTGAGACCCAGCCCTAAAGAGATTGTAGCGCCACTGATTTTTTTTAGGTAATTAACTACTCACATCTTACAAAAATATAACGCCGCCCTGGCCATATTCTTTTACCCCATATACCAGAATTGTTTAGCAGTTTAAAAATCTCTGTCCCAAGGCTTTATTAATACCAATTCAATTGACATGATAAATATCCATCAATTTATTTATTCGTAGAATAAAACGTAGCAAGTTTTAAAATTAATTTAGAAACTTGCTACGATAGAAACAAAATATTGTTGTTTATTGTAATTGATGTGTTAAATTCCCCAGGCGTTAAATATTTTTACAAAATTCAAATATATTTGTGAAGGTTAACTTAAGACAGCATTAAATTCTAAAAATGAATTTTCAAACCAAACGTTAAAAAGTCTCGTTATGAGTGCCTTAAACTCGAATTTTATTGTAAAATTTAAAAATTAAAGCATAACTACTTTTACTTGCACATTAAACGTACCTAATTAGAAATTAATGTGAGACTAACAAGCGAGGTAAGGGATTCTCTGAAAGGCTTTCACGGTGAGAGCGATGAAAAGTTTTCATAGGAACGCTGTGTATCGGCTTCGTTGCTCGGGTCAACGAGCTCGGTACTAGGAGCTCAACAATTTAAAATGATAATAATTCTTAAAGAAACACGGGCCATGTGTTGCGCCATGACACTAACAATTAATGGTTAAAATCCAGGCTAAACGGGCTTCGTAACGTTAGGGAATGGACGGGTATTGCGATGGCGAAAGAGTTGCTTCATCTGGCACAGGACAAGACACGCTTGACGAGACTAACGGCCAAACTCCAGTAATGGAGAGACACTAAAAGAAGAAGATAAATTTATATGCTGATAATGAGTAAAATCCAGGGTAAATGGCTTGTTGGTAGAAGAAAAAATCATGGCTTCGTAACGTTAGGGAGTGAACGGGTATTGCTACTGCGGAAGAGTTGCTGCATCAGGACAAGACACGTTTCACGAGACTAACAGCCATCCTCCAGTACCCGATGAAGTAATGAACAAGCGTGAACACTAAATTGGATTAAGCTTTTTTCATCAATGTTCTGCTGGTGTAGCAATATATTATGTTTTCCATACAAATGTGTCTCAGGTTGACTTTAAAAATAAATCTCGCTCTTTCCACAAATCATTATAACTTTGTGCCCTGTTGGCCGAACTTTTCTAATAAATAAATATAATAGGGGTTTGAGTATAGGGGCTGACAGACAGCGTCTGAAAATCAGTGGGTGTTGGCTAGAGAAAAAGTCTGTAAGTTAACGTATCAGTATTATGTTTTTATGCGTTTAGACGTTTTTGGGACAGGCCAACAAATGAGAAACATTTCTGCATATAATAATAATAATCTTTATTTCTTCTCTCACATATATATATACAAGATTATTATGATTAAACTAAGACAATAACATTAGGAAGTGTATGTGAGAGACTGGTCTCTGTAACAGGAGACCTAAGTGACAGATAGCCAGCCTCTCCACCACCGGACCGGAACACGTACAATCAGGTCATTGTCATAAGATACAATATAAGAAAATAAGTAAGTGCTAAAAGAAAACATTGCAAACGGAGTCGTAAAAATAAATTTGGTGTGTGTGTGTGCGTGCGCGTGTGTGTGTCTCTCACTCTCTGGGTGTGTGTGTGTATGTGTGGGCGAGTGGCTGTTACAGAGTAACAGTTATTAAATCTTCTGTTTCATCATAACTCAACGTCTTCAGCCAAGTAGTAACCATTTTTTTATATATAATATATTTTATTGATTTTTTTTCCTAAAGCATTTAAGTACAGCTTTAATCAATTTAAGCTCACCGATTCGATATTGCAAAAATTATTGAAAGAAAATATTAACCCATGGCAAGGATTCGAAAGTACGACCTTAAATTTGAATTGTTGATTAAGTAATATATTCTAACTCTTAGCCTATTATCAAAAGCCTTCGGTGAAATGAGTTCGCAAGCTCGAGTTAGTTTTGTTTTAACAACCTGTGGCATTATTTATGAAATTTATTCGTTAATTAATTAATGTACAATTCAGCTAGATTAATTAATGATGTACGAAAATGTTTCCAAGATAATATGCCAAATGAGTGGGTCGATATTCAATATGTTTATGTGTTTTTACTTATAAAGAAAGTATATCCTTTTTTACAGAATGGTATAATTTCTCGTGTTTCCAACAAAAGTATGGTGTTTGCAAAAATGGCTGTCCAGAGTTTTAGCGCTTTAGACTTGAACCCTAAGCCCTTTATTTTTAAAAGCTCAGTTTAATTGCAATCTTTTAACTAACGTTTTCTGTCTGTTTCTCATATTAGGCTTTTGCTGATCAGCACTTTAGTTAAAACGGTGCAATTAGAGTGATTTATTTTATATACCCCATATTTAAATCTTAGTGGGTACCCCATTATTTTTTCTGTTTTATTAACACTCTAACGCCTAAAACTGGTTCTATAAATATTTTCTTGTGACATGTCTTTAAATGGAGGGGATATGACGTAGGATAAGATTTTTAACTCAACATAAAAATATAAATTGTTCATGTAGGTTAACTTAATATACACTTATGGTTCTAAATTTACAGTTAAATAGTACGCCCTTAAATTGAGAACTGGCAGTAAGTTCTCAATGTAAGGGCGTACAACAAAACCTAGCAATAAACTCTCTGTCGCTCTTTTAAACCGCCAACCGCCATTTTTTTTTATTTTGTACAACTACGTAAGTAAGCCTAAAACGTTTCAAGTAACAGAAGAAAAAATCTTTCGACCCGTCTTCATAATATTATTGATTGTCGTATAAAATTAATCAATGTTAATAGAACTTTATACCGCTTCACAACAACAATCCCTTATCATACTCAAATTTTCACACTATGCCCAAGGGATTCCTAACTCTGAACTTGACCCAAAATGAGCTTCCGAACCATTTACCTAGATGATACGATTCCGCCCTTCGTAGGGTGAAATAAAATTACAACCGAACCAAAAATGTTTTCCTACGAATGTGCTTTGACCTGCGAAAATTATATTCATGTTACGATAATGTAAGATTTAATAGCTTTTGCTCGTTCATAATTCGTATGGAACATAAAAATAATTTAATTTTGATTTTCCGTCTACGATGGCACAATTAACTGATAGCCGAGATGTCACGTGATTATTGCAGTTGGTAAAATGAATGTGTAGGGCTAAACCCTCAGCCTGGTAACGGATTAGATTCCCGGAATGGAGAATAAAATTTGCTTTCTTTCTGTGTGTTGTGTAACTAATTGTTATTAGTCGGTTAATTATAGGTATGGAAATGATTCTGTGTATTTTTTAAAAGTTGAAGCTGAAATAAAGATTCAATAACTATAACCATGTAAGGAAAACAATATATTTTCCTATACAAACTCAAAAAAAAAAAAAAATCAAATTTTCTTTTTTTATCATTTTATTTTATAAAACCTAGAATATAGGCTTTAAATGTTGTTAGTTTTGTGTGTGTGTGAATAATTTGTAAATATTTTTTTTTATTAAATGTAAATTAATAGATAGGTATTTCTTTTGTAAATAAATCTTTTATATTCACAGAGAAACGCAGTTGCGCCTTATTTATTCCCAGTACTCGTATAAGCGATTGATACCATTATAACCATATAATTGATAATATATAGTAGTCATTTGCAATAAGTAGTCTAGTATTAATTATGTACAATTTGGTAACATAAGGAAATCAAAGAAAAAAAAATATTAATATACTTAGGAGTATCTATAATCAGTAAGTACCTAATGTATTTACTACTAAGATTTACTATAAAGTTGAATAGCGAATGCAAATCACATGAACATCTATATATTTTTTTTTCTGCGGTTATTTGCAATCAGCCCTGCGAGTCTGTAACTCACTTTTCGAACTCACTCAGCGGTTTTCGCATCGGCGGTCGCTCTCAAATCAGTCGTGAAGCAGTCATTTTAGCCCTAAGGCTATGAGCGAATTTTATCTGTGGTGCTGTCATGTGGCGTGACTTCCCATTAGAAGCATCTACTCATCTACTGTCTAGAGCTACTGCCGGTCTTCTAGCTCTAGAATATATATATATAAATATATATATATATATATATATAAATGAA